ATTGTGTGCGAAAGTTTTTTTTTTTTTTTTTCATGCGAAAGTTTTTTTTTTTTTTTTTTCATGCGAAAGTTTTCTTCTTCCCTAAGGCTTTTCTTTAAACCACCAGTACTTGGCCCAGCTATCGGCCGCAGCGCTTTCCCGTTAACGCGTTAGGGCTTCGGGGTACCGGACCACAATGGCTCGAAGCGCCAGCCAAGCTTCCGCGAAAATCGGCGCGCAGGGGCATTCCAGGCTCGGCATCGATAACTGGGCCAAGTACTGGTGGTTTAATACGAAACCTCTAGCCAGGAGGGTTCCACTTAAACCACCAGTACTTCCTAAAGTCGCGTAGTGTTAACGCTACGCAATGTTATGAAACGTACGGGCCACTGCAGTGATGGGGGGTTTTCTGAGTCGTTTCTGAATTTTGCTTAATCATGAAGATTGTCATAAGCATGTCTGAAGTAGCTCCAATTTTTCTCCTCTACCCTTATTTTTCCCTTAAGTTTGAATATTCAATGAAAAAAAGAGTTAAACAAAGTGTAGGCTCACACAGGTGTGAAGGGGGAACTGAGTCGCTAACTGACCTTAAGTGAAGTAGTGTTGAATACGCCCCGACTCACTCAAGAAAGCCAAGTATAAAATATAATTGTTGTCGAATACAAATTGAGGTAAATTTCAGGTCAACCACTAGTTTCAATCCGTCTCTAATTCACACGCCCCACATGCGGTAAATCCAGATGTGAAAACGGAAAGCCACACACGTTCTGGAAACATCCAACTGTCCAGTGTTGGTCTCAATTTATCCCACAAGGTCCCAAATGGCCCCACACTACCGACTGCAGCACCGAATGACCTCAATCACAAAATCCGCTTACTTCGTTTACTCCACAAAAAAATGTGACCCCGAATGTCGAAACCGCAAGTGTCGTGAGTCCCAACGGTCACTATGTCGCCTGGTCGTGTTCCAACTGGTCCTGCTGGCCTGCGCACTGCGTCACGTCGTACCCCCCCCAAAAAAAGGTCTGACATGTGCGTCCTAGCTGATTCACGAGTGTCACACAACACAAACTACCACACACACCACCAAGCATGACCGAAAGTTGTCGACCACACTCTGTTGCAGTCCTAAAAAAATAATGGCGCGCAGCGTAGTCGAACACCACTCTTGGAACCAAGTCCCAAGCATGCACTCTAGCCGATACCAGCACGATCCCTTGCTCAAACTGTGAATACCACATCGTTAATCCAGTTGAGTATCCCCTAAGAAACTCGCTCCCCGTTGTCAAACGAGCAACATCCTCCCACCTAACAATGTTACCACTGTCGTACTATAAAAACGACAACACTGCCTTTTCAGAATTTAGTACCACGCAACGTGCGGAGAATTCGACCACATAACCCTATTGGAACGTCGATTGTGACATGCCCTAAAACAGGCAGCACCTCCCCTACAGAAAAATGTTGCTACTGATGCGCCAAAAATTCGACAGCTTAACACTACCAAACGGGGTGCAGCCTGCCGCAACGTAGTACCGACACCTCCTCGAACACAGTCCTGAAGTACTGTAGAATAATAAAAATTTGGACCTGGAAAAAATCCAGATCCAAAATGTGCTTCCCCAGCCTCAGAGCAAAGTCTCAGTCCAACCGCGTGGACCGAGGAGTAGTCCCAAAGGGCCATCACTAGTCTCAGGCAGGGGCAGAGTGCCCCCAGTCTCAGCTATGGCTACCCTTCCTCTCCCTCTTCACTACATACCTCCACTTCACCAATACTCCTCCAGCAGCCCACCAGCACTCAGGTGTATTGTCACACATTGGCACACCCGTGGACTGCTGAAATATAGACCTTAGTTCGATTCCCACAGGAATTAAAAAAAAAGAAATTGAAACATTTCTCGATTTATGTATGTCATCCTTGCGCAAGGGCCATGCTAACCGTGGCGTGGATGATCCCAGCCATGCGATCTGAATGATCGCGCGGCCAAGATTGACCGCGCCTCGGTGACCCTTCCTCTCAGACTGCTCCAAGAAAAGGAGCTAACCTACGTGATGAATTTTGGATTTGAACCCAATACTTGTTCGATGACAGTCCAAGGCAATACCTACTGGGGTAGCTCCTATTTACCATCAAACAGGAGCAACTCTTCGATATGAAGAGTCTTGTCCCCAACAGGTACCCAGCCCGTAGCCTAACGACTTGCGCCTACTCTTGCCACTCCAATGGTTGGTCGCCGATTCCTTGATCAAGCGCGTCCCCAACCCGATAGGATAGGATACTGCCCCTTTACCACTCCATGCGGGTTCAAGCACCGATGAGGGAAATTCTTGAAACTCATAATTCCTAACCCCTGTGCCCCTTTGCGCCATGACCGCACACACGACGCGGCCACTTTTTTTTACCACTTAAACACTGAATCAAGCCGCGCGTCACAATTTTGAATAAAATAGGTTTTAGATTTAAACCACCAGTACTTGGCCGAACTATCGGATGCGGGCTTGCCCGTTAACGGGGCGCAGCCTCAGGAGGTCGGCCGAGAGCAGCAACCGGTAGTTCTGCAAAGACCGGGCTCAGCAACTTCCAGGATGACACTAACGAATACAAAAGAAAAAAA